TATGGCAAATTTATCTAATTAAAATCAAAATTTAATTAAATATCAAATTAGAGTCTAACTCTAATTTCAATACTTAAAGAGATTGAATTTAATTAAAATCAAAATTTAGCTCTTGTTTGAGCCCCATTCTTTTGATAAGAATGAATTATTGAATAGTATATTGATGGAAATGCGTGGTTAAAAAATAAGGAAAATTTTTGAATTTGTGTATAATACTATTTTATTGAAGAATGTGTGATTAAAATGATATCAAAACACTGTTTAAGAATGTATTTTTTTAAAGAATGAGAATCAATTAAGGGCTTGATTAAATATTAAAATTAGACTCCAACTCTAATTCCAACAAAAATTTTAGGGCGGAACTATTTAATTAAAATCAAATTCTGATTAATTGTTAAATTAAAGTCCAATTCTAATTTTGAAAATATATTTGTGTGAATAATTTAATTAAAATCAAATTTCAATTAAATATCAAATTACAGTCGTATTCTAATTTTAATTGAATTAACATTATAATTTAAGATAAAATTTCTGAATAAATAAAATGCAACTTAGGGTCATCAATTTTAGTACTGATTCTTAGAATAAATTTTTTGATCGTTAGAGAGAAAAATGTGTCTCACCTATAAGTGAAGAAGTTAAAAATGATGGTTGATCATGTTAAATAACGATAAAAAAATTGATATTTTGACTTGAAAAATCGAAACCAAACAGGTGCAAAATTTTGGGTTTAAACCATTTTAAAATTTAATTCAAAACTAATTTTAATATCTAAATTCAAAACTATTTTGAAAATTGCAATTTGATCTTAATTTCAAATTTATAAACAGCCTTAAAAAAATTTTAGAAATAACAATCAAGGCCCTTATGTTAAAATTGCATCATGACCCATTTTATAATAATGTAGATAGGGACACATAGGTTCAAAAATTGCAAAACAGGCCTCGTTCCCGAAATTCATCCAAACCCTAAAAAAAACTTCTTTCATCTTCTCCTTGGCAATGCCGACTACCGTAGCTACTGACTGCACTCACTGTAGCAGTGAACGCTTGCGAACGACACTGCAGCAGTAGCAACGGTCGTTGTTGCAACGAGCATCGATGACAATCGCTGCTACTTCCATCCCTGTGGCAACATGTTGCCTTTTGGGTGTTGCATATTGCGTGGCTCTTCGCCACTATCGGTGGTGGCTTCCGCTGTAGCCATCTTTATCTTCAGATCCAATTTTTTTGACCGAAAAATTATTTAATTGCTAGATTCAAGAGAAAGAACAACAATCAACTTTTGATTGTTCCCAAATATTCAAAATAATTTCTAACAAATACAAAGTAATCTATGATACCATTGTTGGAAATTTACTCAATCTTACACGGCAGAAAATAAAACAATTTCAATTCTCACCAAGGATCTAGTTCGTATTTAGATAGAAATTGTGATAGGAATTATACCTTTTGTAAATTTTGCAAACTCCTTTACCAATCTTGTAATATGAACAATCATGATCTGCAATTCACAATTTTCAATTTTCCATCATCCAATGAATATTCACACAGGGAACAAGATTGAGAAAATTGGGATATCTTTTCTTGTGCTATCATGTATAATTATATTCTCTACATATTTTTCAAACCCTAACAATATATTAATATAAGTCAAAATGGACTTGGCTCGTCTCTAAAATTTAACTATGTCCATTAATTCATTAATTAATTAATTTGGGTCACTAATAAGCAACCAAATTAATAAATTTCCAACACTTATTAATTAATTAATTGTTAAATCTCATATTAATTAATTAATTGTTAACTCTCATTCTTTTAGTTTTCCATTTGTGTGTGACCCGTTAGATTTTAAATCACGACACCTAATGACGTAATTACTATTTTGATCTAATCAAAATTGATAAATTTAAATACTCTTTTTAATTTATCACCAATTCATATTCCTCGCCCCAGATTGATATATAGTAATGTCTTTAAGACAATACATATGACGAAAAATGCCATGTCGTATGACAAAATTAAATTTGTTCGTTTATCATGAAACTGTAATTCTTTCGTCAATATGATTCGATCAATTACGAGATATGGATGCGTCAATCTTAATTATTGATTATATCTTTTATCCCAATTTTAATTCAATTGAATATTAATTAAATAATAGAACTACCATAAAAATTATTTTAATTATATATTAATAGCGTTTATATTTAAAATTGATTGGACTTATAACATAATACTTACATATAGAAATATCAAGGTTTGCAATTTTTGATGATGTGTTATGTAAGTCAAAAATGTAATGAACATAAGATTGCCCAAAGCCACAAACATTGCATTCCAATTGGATGTAGGTGACCCATCCGACCAGTCATTATTCTTTGGTACATTTGTGTCGTTACATGTGTTGCTTGGTTATTTTGGGGCCCTAGACATTGACATAATGATCTTGTGACTTGTGAGTGGCGAGTGGGTCAATGTGGTACCAAAAAGAATTAAAATATTTAGGGCATGTTCGGAAGCGATTTTTTTATCCAAAAAATTGATTTTTTGACAGTTATTTTATTATTCCAGTCGTTATATTTGATTTCTTCTCTCACAGGTGGACCCCACTTTTCTCCTAACGGTAAAAAAATCAATTCTCAAAATCACTCTCAAACATACTCCTAATAAATAATAGTCACAAATGATTTTGTCCTCCCAAAACTAATGCCTTCTAACAAGGCCGTTTGGTAGGGATTAAAATTCATATTTTAGTCTTAATTAAAGTCAATAATTAATTTTAATCATATATTTCATGAGTTCTGCAACTTTTCAACTATAAATTTTATTAGCTTTTATTAAAATTTACTAAAAATATGATATCAATTCTCACAAAAGATGGCATAATATATTCAAATTTTGTAATTAAATCTCGATTATTGAAGTGTAATAATATTGATTCTCCCACCTTATAATTTCCCAATGAGTAGCCAAAAAGAAAACTTTGGAAAAAGGTAAAATGATAGTTTGAAGAATTTAAAGGTTATTAAAATTTGAAATATACTAAAAGTAAATACCACTCATTTATGATTCTATTTGAGTTATATTTCTTATTTAATACTATTGAATGACGAGTAGGTATATATTTTATTATTTAAAATTTGGCATTTATTTAATCAGAACGCGTCAACGTGTAAGGACTCATTAATGCCATTAAAAAAAAAGGAAAAAAATGTAATAAAGCCCTTGAATAAGTCTTTGATACTAAGCTGAATATTAGAATATTTGAGTCAACAGAGACAATAGGAAAAGTCCAAATGATCACGAGTCATTGGACCATTAGAAAATTTGAATAGTAAATTAAATGAGAAAAATTATTCGATTCTTTTTTTATACCATGTATCATGAGTATTCTCAATAATAAAATTATTTATATTTTTAATACAATAAAAGTCTCTATAAATGTAAATTACCCTAGACAATATGGTGTTTTTTTAGCCCCTAGAGGACTTTTTTTGGAAGAAGACAAGTAATTTTTTGACCCCTTTTTTGGTCACTTGGAACCCACATAAGAGTGTGTTGGTGAAAAAAAAAAAAAAAAAAGGGCTGCTTTGGGCACTAACGGTAGGAATATTAATTTTTCTATCCGAAAAATGTCCTCCCAACAATGGAATTAGCTTGACACTGATACAAAAGAACAATAGTGTATTCAACTATTGTTTGTCGAATATAATGCATGCAATTATCAATTTAATGCCATTCTTTGCGGAGGTATATAATTCTACTTGGGAATTTGTCATTCCGATGGAACATGTTTTGGCTACGTAGGATGTGAAAAATATTAAAACTTACTCAAATTTTCATCTTGTGCTTTAACTCAAAAGTTATTATCTTGTTTAAAAGGATAGAGCCGATGCCATTGACTTAGTCACAAAAGCTTATTTGATCATCTAAGGAGATTTGTATGATAATTCATTGTCTTGTTTTATTTTTTATTCATATGTCTAGTATTTAGCCCCCGTTTGACTCCCATTTTGTGGTAATGAGAATGAGTGAAATAGTGTTTTTTTAAAAAATGAGTGATTGGAAAAGAAGGAAAAATTTTCGGTTTACGTGTAATATTATTTTATGAGAGATTATATGATTGAAATATAGGAGAGAGAAAAATGAAATATAATGGAATGAAAATTAATGAGACCCAAACGGGAACTTAACTGAAGGGGACTCCAATTTGTTGCACTTAAAGGAGTTTCTTTATCTGATTTATAAGCACGGAAATTTACATGGAAATTAGAATGATGATTGTACCTTAGCTCCCGTTTGAGCCCCATTATTTCTCATTACATTAAATTAAAGTTTTCTCTTTTTTATTTTTAACCACACAATCTTCAATAAAATAATATTACACGTAAATCAAAAACTTTTCAACCACTCATTTTTAAAAAGAATAACTATTCATCTCATTATAGCCCTTGTTTGAGCCCCATTTTTTTGGAAGAACGAATTTTTTAATAGTGTATTGATGAAAAATGTGTGGTTAAAAAATAAAGAAAAATTTTATATTTGCGTGTAATATTATTTTATTGAAAAATGTGTGGTTAAAATGATCTCAAAACACTGTTGAAAAATGAATTTTCCGAAAGAATGGGGCTCAAACAAGGGTATAATTTACAAATAATGAGGCTCAAACGGCTAGATCGCATACCCAAAAAATTACTAAGGACTCCTTTAATATTTACTTATTTAATCAAGCAAAACAAGGTTAATTAACATGATTAAAAAAAGAACTACACCCTTTTTGATTTTGTAATTTGATAAAATAATGAGTTTATGAAATTTAAGATTAACTTATTTATTTTTGTTAATTCGAATTTTTATTAATTTTTAAATAAAATAAAATATACGGATAACATAAAAAAAAAAAAAGGAAAAACGAAAAAGAAAAAGAAAAAAAAGCCAAAACATTGATAGGCTTTTGGCGAGAGGAGAGAGGGGGCTTCCTCTTTTACTTTGCCGCAACGTTGCGTAATTTCTGTCTAATCTATTTTAAATTTATACCATCCACCTTCGTTTTTGAAGATAAAATCTGCATAAGAACGTTATCATATATTGATAGGGACCTTATTATTCATTTTAAATCTCGAGAAACTATAAATAATCCGGGTATGTATTCACATTCAAGCAGCTGCGTCAAGAGCGTTGTTCTGGGAAAGTCGGTTTCATTTTGTCGTTTGATTTGGTACTGAGTTATGAAAGAAGACCCCATTTTTCCGTGTTTCTGGTTTAAGCTTTCAATTGCTTCAAAGAATTGAGTAGAAGCTCTCTTTTTTGCTCTGTGAAGGTAAGATTTACTGGACCTTTCAATAGCTGATGGTAGCTGTAGAAGAATAGATGGAGACAAAGAGGAGGTGACTTTTCTTGATTTGGGGTTTCTGGGTTTTGGTTTGTAAGTGGTTTAGTGATCTGGGTGTTGCTGAAAGCTGTGTTCTGTAATTGGAACTGAAGTTTTTGAAGGTTTTTGTGATGTGGGCTGAGCGTTTATCAAGAAGGTAAGCTGGATATTGGCAATTGTGGTTTGGTTTTAACTGGAAATTGATTACTGTGACATCTACAGATCTGATTGTGAGGCAGACAATTCTGAGTGAGCTTCACAAAAAAATTGAATCTTTTTGGCATTGCTAAGAAATTGCAGTTACCACGATCTCAGCCCATTTCAACTACATGCACTCCCACTCCAGTTGTATCTCCACCACCTCAAGCACCTCCTTCCAATAATGTAACAGAAACTCTTCCTGTCTCACCAGCGTCCCCTCCTTCCATGGCTACCCCATCAGCTGCTACGTCTCCCCCTCCTCAGCCTACACCTTCATCTTCAACCAAATCACCATCACCATCTTCCAGTCCTCCTCCTCAAACAACACCTTCTGATCCACCTTCTCCTCCTCCTCCTCCTAATCCACCAGCTATTTCACCTCCCCCGCCACCACCCCAACCCTCTGAAACACCACCTTCTGATCCACCTACAAGGCCTCCTTCTCCTCCTCCTAATCCACCAGCTGTTTCACCTGCCCCGCCACCACCCAAACCCCCTGAAACAACACCTTCTGATCCACCTACAAGTCCTCCTCCTCCTCCTAATACACCAGCTATTTCACCTGCCCCGCCACCACCCAAACCCCCTGAAACACCACCTTCTGATCCACCTACAAGGCCTCCTTCTCCTCCTCCTAATCCACCAACTCTTTCACCTCCCCCGCCAACACCCAAACCCCCTGAAACACCACCTTCTGATCCACCTACAAGGCCTCCTCCTCCTCCCAATCCATCAGCTATTTCACCTGCGCCGCCACCACCCAAACCCCCTGAAACACCACCTTCTGATCCACCTACAAGGCCTCCTCCTCCTCCCAATCCACCACCAACTCTTTCACCTCCCCCGCCAACACCCAAACCCCCTGAAACACCACCTTCTGATCCACCTACAAGGCCTCCTCCTCCTCCCAATCCATCAGCTATTTCACCTGCCCCGCCACCACCCAAACCCCCTGAAAGCCCTGCTCCGCCTGTGCCTGGGCCACCAAAACTTGCTCCACCACAACCACCCACAAAGTCCCCAGAAAGTTCAACTCTACCTCCCAGTCCACCAGAGACTTCACCAGCCCCACCAACATCCACGCCACCTAAACATTCCCGTCCAACTCCAGCTGCTAAATCACCCCAAAATTCAACTCCACGTCCGGCACCTCCAGAAAGTTCAAACGCTACAATTCCGGCTCCTCCACCCGCGCCTCCACCATCTTTGAATTCTAGAACGGACACCAATGACTCAGTTGCTAATGTTCAACCAAGTTCACCATCCACAGGTGAAGGAGGCCTTAGTACGGGAAGCACATTAGCAATTGGTTTGGTACTTGTCCTTTTGTTGCTTAGTATTGCTGGAACAGCAGCATGGTGTATATGGAAGCGAAAGAAAAAGGCTTCTGGACTTGATGGGGGTTATGCTATGCCAAATTCTCTAGGCTCTTCCCCAAAATCAGGTAACAATGTGGAATGCTATTGTATTAAATTTTGAACATTTTTGTCACGAGCTGAACTCTACCTCGCAACTTCACACTTGCACAGATCAAATAATGGAAATCTTACCAGCTGAACCAGTTAAAATTGTAAACAAATTAGGAGAAATAGAAAGGGGAAGGGGAAAATGAAAAAATAAGAAGAATGGAGATGAGAAAAGCTGTTGATTCAATCAACAATTTCACTGAAATTTTGCAGAAAACATTACACACCTCTTTCCAAACCCTTTACACCTTATTTATCTGCTTACCTCTACAGTGAAGAAGCGTGGTTCTCAACTGGTAAAATGTAAAAAAAAAAAAAATGGTTTCTAGTTTATTACAATTAATCAAAGTAAAATGACACCGTTTTGATAAGTTGGCACAACACCATGTTTGAATTGAAAACCAGTCAAGTCCGTTGCCTTCTTCCTCTTCTATTTCTGGTTTTGCTGATTCTTTTTCCCCCAATTATTTCCCACATGACAATTTTGGTCTATGTTTTTCCATGTTTTCAACAATGTGAGATGTTGTTCATGTTCAGATGCGGCCTTATTGAAGTTACACATATCAGCATCCAACAACAGAAGTGGCTCTGTCCATGATTCCATCTATTCACCACATGACCCTGGTGGCTTAGGCAATTCGAGGTCATGGTTCACCTATGACGAACTAGTCAATGCGACTAATGGGTTTTCAGTACAGAATCTGTTAGGCGAAGGAGGATTTGGTTCTGTGTACAAAGGAATCCTAGCAGATGGTAAAGAGATAGCAGTCAAGCAGTTAAAGTTTGGAGGGCAGCAGGGGGAGCGAGAATTCAGAGCTGAAGTTGAGATAATTAGTCGCATACACCATAGACATTTGGTTTCACTTGTAGGTTATTGCATTTCCGAGAACAAAAGGCTACTTGTGTATGACTATGTTGCTAATGATACCCTCTACTTCCATCTTCATGGTAAATTTACTATTTACCATTGAAAGTAAAGTTCGTGAATAAATTGTAACTGACATTGACTATTGCTCCTTAAACTTTCAGGTAAAAGTAGGCCTGTTATGGATTGGGCCACTCGTGTAAAAATTGCTATTGGTGCAGCTCGTGGAATAGCTTATCTTCATGAAGACTGTAAGTGACCTATATTCTTCTTTTCTTTCCCATTTTATTATCATAGTTTATCTCTGTAACATTTCTCTACCAAAAAGGAAAGTCTCGTCTGCATTTTTCTATTCTTCTCAGTAACTATTGCTTTGATTGTCGCTTCTGTGAATCTTCAAAAATTGAGTTTGTGTTTACATTGTTGACAACATGGAATTATATCAAAAATAGTATAACAAACAAGACTCTTCTCATATATTGAGTGGAGAAACAAATGAAATAAGCTATGGACGGATTGAAGACGTTTTCACCACACACTTGAGAATTAAAAAAAAAAAATATATAGTTTCTGAAGGTCAAATCGTTAAGTTATGCTGGTCTTGTATCTATGGGTTTTTCCTGCAAATATATGATTAATTTCATTTAGCTGGAGAAACAGTAATCTTATGTTGAACTTTGAACAAGTACAACAAATTAAAGCAATGTAAATCTTGGGAGCTGCGTTATCTTCTGTAAAAAAGAAAGAATTCATTTTCTATTTAATTGGACACAACTCTCTCGAAGAGTTGCTAAAGGAAACTTAAGGATGCTGTTTTAGGAGTATGCCAATGTCACTGAAAATAAGAGACCTGCCTTCTAATAAGTGCAATCACTCAGACAGAAAGAACGAAAAGAGGAAGAACACAAACCCAACTCGTTGTTTTGGGACGAATACCGAGAAGTATTGACAGATTTTGGAGACATCTCAGTTTTCTTATTCAATATTCAAAAAATCTAAATAAAGCAACTTTCAAATAATTATACATCGATACAGCTTTTTTTTTTTAAAAATTAGGATGTACGGATACGTGTGTAGTATTTTTCATAAGTTCATAGAATTCAACATAATTGCATTTTTATAAAAATCATTAAAACAAAAGCCTATTGAAAGTTATAGTACTTTCTAATAATAAAACTAAAATTGTCAACTATTAATACAATTTTACGTCTATTAAAAGTTCTAATACTATTGTCTATTTTCAGCAATAAAACTCTAATGGTAAATTATTTCACACTATTTGTATTTTTAATAACAAGAGTAAGTTTTATATATATCTATTTTCTTAAAATATGTTTACTTTATTTGAAATTGTTAATTAATAAATATTATCCATTTTCAATAGTTATTGATAATGATAACAATTATTTATTAAGTAAAAAAACTTTATCATTTATTATCTATAATAATGAATTTTAAGAGACTTTTAAATGAATAAAACTGTTCTTTTTCACGTGTCCAATGCATATTGAAAAAAAGAAAAGAAAAAGAAAAAGAAAGTAATTCTTAGCCTTAAGATCCTTTAAACATTAGCTATCCACTTCTGTTTTCTGTCTATCACTGTTGTGCCAGTTGCAGAAACTACCTAATGATCAGGTAAAATAACAAAACAAAAAGCTACCTCTTATGGACTAGGACAGAAGCAAGACTTGTTACTAATATTCCTTGACTTCTTCAACAGTGGATGTTGTATTTCTTGAGTAATTGGTGATAATTTGGATATCTTTAAATGCATGAAAAAAAAATGATATGAATTTGGTAAGAGCTGAATTAATCTTCATTTGAATCCCAGGTCATCCCCGTATTATCCATAGGGATATCAAGTCGTCGAACATTCTTCTAGATAACAACTTCGAAGCTCGGGTATGCCCAACTTCTGGTAAACTTGTCTTTATATGTACAATACAATGCATTTGAAAATCACATTATGGGCTTGACAGGTTTCTGATTTTGGACTTGCTAAATTAGCTATTGATGCAAATTCACACATTACCACACGTGTTATGGGAACCTTTGGGTAAGTTGATATCTAAAACTGGTCTCTGTTCACATCAAAGTCTGGACGGACCAAGAGATTGTAATTATTACACCATCTTTATTCTAATAGCCGTGGTTGACTTGATTCAGATACATGGCTCCTGAGTATGCATCAAGTGGTAAGCTGACAGAAAAGTCCGATGTGTTTTCTTTCGGGGTTGTGCTTTTGGAGCTTATTACTGGACGTAAGCCTGTGGATACATCTCAACCCCTAGGTGACGAGAGCCTTGTTGAGTGGGTAAGTTCATAATACAAGTTCTGTTTGTATTTTCATTCAGTAGCATTTTTCCATTTATCGGAGCTATCTGCTTTGTGATTCATGTTATGTTTAGTGTCAAGAAGCATGAGGTTGATCAAGCCCTCAATTTTCACTCAATTTTTCTGTATCCACCTGTTTGTAGTAAATGATAATAAAACTAGAATGGTTTATGCTCTGCAACATGAGGTTGTTTTTCGAACTAAAACCAGACTCCTAATGTGGGAACCTTTTGTAATAGTTGAATAATCAGGATTTAATAATAGGCTCTGTACAGTTGTAAAAACTTGGATGGTATTTACCCAAGACAGTTATAAAAATCTAGACTTTTCCAATATAGACTTTTCCAATTTTATACATTTTTAGATAGCTTAAA